GAAGGAAGATCGTTAGTGGACTCCAGTAGCCTCAATAGAGGAGGAATCGGAAGTGGATGTATGTCACGACGACCAAACCAATATAAATTTAGTATGCTTTCTTTCTGTGCCATTTCTTTAATGTTTTTCATTGTTATCACTCACTGATTCACTTGCCCACTACTCTCAATCACTTACGAACATTTTTAAGTTTAAACACTTTTTTCGGATACAAGTTTTATACGTTGGGTTTATCGAAAGCACTAATTCCCACCACCACCCCTCTAAGAGATCAAATTAGATTAAAATAATAAGATTTTTATATATTGATTCTATAAATTATCTCGATACTAGGAAGTTTGATTTATATTTATATTAGTTAGAGGTATAATTTTTAATAATAGTATAATGAGAAGTTGCTTTCATGATATGTTTTGATGTATTTATTACATCAATTTTATGACTATGAAATTTTATATATGGTATGTGGTTAGACTCAATTATCAAGTCACTATGGATATTTTATGATATATTACATCAATTTTAATCTCTAAGAATGATAAATAATGTAACAGTTATATGTGTTATGGTATAAAGTACTTGCTAGTTAAAAAAAAAATTCAAAAATAACTATTATCAATTGAGAACATAAGTTATATACTATATTGATTGTTGATCTATTTACTAAGGCTTTATAGCCTAAGGTATTTAAAAATATATTTTTATAAATGGGCTCGTGAGGAATCCACAAAAGATATAGTGATACATATTTGAATGGACATCATAATTATTATTTTTTTCTTAATTAAAATTATTTATTTTTATTATTATGTTCACATTTATATATGTATATATTATGATTGAATATGATAACAATATTATTTTGATAAAATAAATTACTAGAATTATTGTGGATTGTATTAGGAAAGATTAATAGTATCGTGCTATAAAAAAGGGGTATAACATTAACAATATAAAATTATTATGACTCTTATTAGTAGTTGGACTTAATATAGTATTATTATATTTATTAAACTTATTAACTTATTTTATAAAAATTTATTATCAATTGTAAAATACTTTTCAAAATTTACAATGATTTAATATGATTTTAAATAAATATATATATCACACACACACCCTTTTTTTTCATATATTAAGGAGCTACATATATTTAGAAGAATAATTTAATCATTTAGAAATTTTTTTAAGTATGAATTTGGTTCTAATAATATTATTAGTTGGATTTGAATATTATGAACCCTAGTGATGTAATTAAATTTATTTATATATTTGTGAGATAATTGATATTGTATCATTCACTTGCATAAGTTTGGGATGATAAGTTATTTGTATAGGTCTAGGCGTTGCTTCTTGCAGGAAAACTTATGGGGATAATGGCATCGTATCGTTTAATTATAACAACTTTTTAATCAATTATATGATGTTTTTTTTTAGGAAAGCCAATATTGAAACTCCTTTAGGGAAGAGACAACAGAAAGAAAAAAAAAAAAAAGAATCATAGAAATATTTTAAAAGTAACATAATCAATAATTTTGTCAGAAAATCATGATACTCATGACTTATTTTGTCTCATGAATTATGCCCGCTTTTTTTTTTCATCATTATCTGTTCTATCTTTTATGTTTTAAATTTGGAGGGATGACCAAGTCTTATGTTAAATTAAAATTCTAACAATCTTGCTCCAACTCAAAATCATTCGAGAATCTAAATTTTGTTACTAATCCAATTGGGGTTGTCATCCAAAAATCAATATATAAATTATTTTATTATCCACGATCAAATTCTAGTAAAAATAATGATTGATGGTTTAATAATAATTTTTGTTGTTTTTTGAGAGGTGAAATTCTTCCTTTGTTCCTTCTTATCTTTGATGTCAATTATTTGCTTATCAATTTAGGATGGGAGAGTTAAACCAACTCATTCCTATATTTTCTTTCTGGGTGTTAGTTATTCGGTTATCAATTCAACACGGAAGAGCTAAATCGACTTGCTTTATTGTGCGTCAGATGTGACACAAATTTTAGTCTCGGTGAAGAATTGCTGGTCAGAGAGAATGAGTTTGGTCCTCTTCAAGGTCGAAACACTCATCCGTTCCAGAGAGCTCCTGCAAAACTAATGCCAGGAGATGGTCAAGAGATTTCCTTTTAACACCTAAATTAGCGCATGGATGGTGGTCATGCACTGGATTGGCTCGCGTGGCATCGGAGAGAGGCTTTACGAGTTTTTAGTACTGTCTCGAGCAATCACTATAAAAATAAATAAATAGGTCTGACATAGTCTTAAGGAACATTTCGATTAAAATCAAGTGGTAATCGTTGATGAAGATTCTCAAATGATACGAATGAATTTTTTATTGTCCAATTAGGTGCTTTCGTTGTTAAATAAAAGCAGAAAAATCTATTGTTTATCCTCGCATGTGTTTCTCGTGTATTTATATGATCCAATGTCCATATTCAGAGAGGTGAAGAAAGTCTTCGTAAAATATTCTAAAACAGGTGTCATGCAAAAGCTAAAGAAAGAAAGAAAAAAAAAAAACAGAGAGAGAGAGAGAGAAGTAGATCGAAGTCCCTGAAAAGGCTTTGCTCCCCCCCCCACTGTTAGGTACGATCAACATGCGATCTTAGAGACAGCCTCTTGGAAAAGAAGAAGAAGATCCACCATCGTCACTGCTACGCCATCAGTCATGTCTTCCATGCTCCACACAGTCTCTCTTTCGTGGGTGGGTGCCTCCCTTCTCGCCGCCACCCTCTCCTTGTTCTTATTCTTGCGCTGGACTGCGGCCAAGAAACCCGGCCAACTTCCGACCCCGCCAAGGCTTCCGATCATCGGCAACCTGCACCTGCTCGGCTCCCTCGCTCACCACTCACTGGCAAGGCTGTCCGAGAAGTATGGCCCTGTGATGCTCCTCCACTTCGGCCGCGTCCCTACGGTCGTCGTCTCCTCGGTGGCGGGTGCGCAGGAGGCCCTGAAGACCCGAGATCTGGCCTTCTCCGGCCGCCCACTCTCGAGCCTGAGCGACAGGCTCTTCTACGGCTCCCAGGACCTTGCCTTTGCCCAGTACGGCGGTAAGTGGCGGCAGATGAGGCGCGTTTGCGTCCTCCACTTGCTCAGCCCCAAACAGGTGCGCTCCTTTCGCTCGGTAAGGGAAGAGGAGGTGGCCCGTCTGGTTGACTGCATCCGCGCCGCTTCCGGTGCGGCGGTGAACATGAGCGCCATGATCATCGCCCTCACGTGCGACATACTTTGCAAGGTGGCGTTCGGGAGCAAGTACACCGAGGAGGGTGGAAGCCAAATCCACTCCTTGATGTCGGAGCTATCTGCAGTGATGGGGATGTTCCCACTGCGGGATCACATCCCATGGTTGGGGTGGATCGATTGGTTGAATGGAATGGATGGAAGGGTGAAAAAGATCGCCATGACAATTGATTCTTTCATCGAGAAAGTCTTAGAGCAGCATACGAGTCAGAGAGGCGGCAATAATAATGATAAAGAGGACAGCAGCATGGACGATTTGGTTGATATATTGATCTCCCTGGACGATAAAGAGGACCTTGATGTCATGTCACTCGGCAGGGACAGTATCAAGGCCATTATTTTGGTAGCTCTTTCTTCTCGTCAGCTTTGTTATCCTGAAAAGGATGCAACGCGGGCTAGTTTTGATAGTGTTTGGTGAATGCAGGATATGTTTGCCGCGGGGACGGAGACAACGTACGTGGCGATGGAGTGGGCGATGGCGGAGCTCATGAAGCACCCGGCAGAGATGAAGAGAGCGCAAGAGGAGGTCAGAAGGGTTGTCGGTCCGAGAGGAAACCTGGGAGAGGAGGCAGCGAAAGAGATGCAGTACCTAAAGGCAGTGATCAAGGAGACTCTCAGGTTGCACCCTCCGTTTCCTATACTGTTTCCGAGGCAGACGGTGGAAGACACCCAGCTGCTGGGTTATCACGTCCCACAAGGTACTTACTATGGAAATTTTCTCGACTTTAAAGAAATAAATAAAAGAAAAAGATCAGAAAATTATTTAAATTATGATTTCTATTTCAACTAAGAATATTAAATCGAATTACAGAGTTTAATTGAGAATTTCAATAGGTACCACCTTGTTCATCAATGCATGGGCACTCGGAAGGGATGTTGGGACATGGGAGAAGCCCGAGGAGTTCCGACCGGAAAGGTTCATCGACGACGTCGTCGATTTCAAAGGGCAGGACTTCCAGCTTATACCGTTCGGAGCAGGCCGCAGAGGCTGTCCTGGAATAGATTTTGCAGTCGCCACCATGGAACTCGCTCTTGCGAGTCTGCTGTACCACTTCGACTGGGAGTTGCCGGAAGGAATGAGAGTGGAGGAGATGGACATGAGCGAGTCATCCGGAATCACAGTGCGGAAGAAATCCAGCTTAATTATCGTGGGGAAGACGGTAAGCCAGTAAGTCGTTATCAACATCGTTCCTGTTCAGCTGTCCATCATTGTGCACGGGTTATGGTAATGTTGTTGTTCCATTAGTCGTAAACTATCTCCACGACAGAGACGATGAAGCCGACGGGCTCACAGGAAGCTGTCTGTGGTCTTCTGTGCGATGGTGTTTCCCATCTCCTGGGTGTCGGTCTCCATCTTCGGCAAAATACTCCGAAGAACCTACTATGTCTTATGCTATTTTATATACAGTAAAAAATGTTGAGAAGACAAACACAGCGTGAGATGGCAAGGTTTGTCCGGTATGATATGCACATCATATACATCATCCAATACACTCGGTACAGGACCTATACCAGACGTTTCTCTTTATTTTTCATATTTTAAAGATTATTTAGAACTCAGTACATATTAATGCATTGACATTGGGCAGCGATCAGTACAATATCACTTACGACACAAAATTGTAGACCTTACGATACGGTATGCTGGCAGACAGCGGGCTGTCCCATAAAGTTCAACAAAATTGAAACAGTGCTTCAGTGTGCAGGTATTAAGTAGTGCTATATCAAGCTGCGAACAAGACTGAAAAGAGTGGATTTTGATTTGTAGGAAATCCGAGTGGAGAACTTCGCATGGACAACATGTGCCAATCAACAAATTGCACATAAACATAAACTATAGTCCAAGGCTTGCATGTGAAACTTCCTGCATACACTCCCGGATAACGCACAAATGCTGATCTCCGTTTTCTAGTTCCGATGGACACAATAAAATAATGAAAAGCTATTCAGAGATCTGCATCACATTGTTCAAAAGAAACACAATAAAAAGTGGTTTTGGAGTCAAAATCCGATCAATCTTCTTACCAATTGCCAGAGATGATGCGAAGCAACGTTGGCTCAAATGGAAGAAACAACGTAGCAAAAATGTCTGTGGTTGAAGAAGCCATGCGACTAAAGCTGGAGTGTTTTAGGACGCTATAAATTGCCACCACGGACTTCATTTAAACGATGCGCTCCAACTCTCTGGCATAACTCAATGTCTGGTTGATCAGTTGCAGCGCGGGTATTTCTTTGCAAGGTTGAGATTCTTTTGCCTTTTGAAAGAACACACAACCATTCTTGATTTCCCATTCCGGGTGTTCCTGCATATAAGTGTGATGTTAGAATCGCTTTATTTTTTAAGTTTTTGAATAATATTTTGTTGAGTTCATTTAGTTCGATAAGAGTCGAATAAAAATTTATTTAATATTTATTTATTATTAAGAGTCCAAGTCCTGATTAATTCTGGGTGGAACTCTATAAATAGATATGTAACTATTTCTTTTCGGCAAACAATGAAATATTATTCAGTCTTTTGACAAACCCTAGGAGACCGATCCCCTCGAAGTGATCAAGGAAGTTGATCCCCTCGAAGTGATCATCCCATTTTCTCCCCTTTCTTCCATGATAAAACCCTAGGGTCTTATCATTTGGTATCAGAGCAGTGATCCTCGGTGTTCTCGCTGCAGTTATCATCATCAAAAAGAAAAAATTCTACAACTACATCCTTCTCGAGCAAGAAAGAAGCTCGACCAGCGAAACAGAGTCCACTGCTCGCTGGCCAACTACCACAGCCGCCACTGCTTCCCGACCAACAGACCACCTCATCCTGCTCGAGCAAGAAAGGGTCATCGTCGCTGTTTTCCGATCAGCAGACCTCCCCCCTTGTCGACCCTTGGTGACACTGCTTCCAGCAGCGCCACCACCACTGCCTCTCGACCTTGGGCAGCAACTTCCTCGCAGCGACCGAAATAGGGCGGGCAACTCACCGATTGCCCTTATTCCCAGCCGCGCCACCACCAATTCCTCTTCTCCACTGACATTCACAACACCGTCGCCTCCCCCCTTGCTCTGCATCCTTTGCCACAGCCGCCGGTTGCCACCATCGCAGCCTCAACCCCAACCGCTTCAACGACGCCTCCCCCTTGCTCTACATCCTCTGTTGTAGAAATAGGGCAACTCACTGATTGCCCTTGTTCCCAACCGCACCACCACCGATTCCTCTTCTCCACCGGCATTCACAACACTGTCGCCTCCCCCTTTGCTCTATATCCTTTGCTGCAATCGCCAGTTGCCACCACCGCAGCCTCAACCCCGGCCACTTCAACACCGCCTCCCCCTTGCTCTGCATCCTCTGCCGCAGCCACCGATTGCCATCACCCCAGCCTCAACCCCGGTTGCTCGGCAATCACTCCCTTGGGTCGTAGTAGCTGCAGCCACACCAACATCGTCACCTTCCATCCCCCGGCGCTCTCACCCCACGCAGCGACAGAAACAAGGCAGCAACTCTTCCTCCTCGCAGCGACCGCAGCACTGCCATCGGCGTTCGCTTCCTCGGCAGCTTCGCGTCGACAGTGCTGATGCCCTTGACCAGACATCAGAAACAAGAACTAGGGCTACTGACAACTCAGTGAAAGCACAAATTGAAGCATTGGAAACCAGAATTGAGAACTAGCTACAAGAAACCCTTAACGATTTCAAAAAGAGCCTATTGGAGAACTTAAACAAGTTTCAACAAGGTGGAAGTTCAAGTTCTGCATTAAATAGATCTAGAGATACAGGAAAATGGCCCCAAGAATATGACAAAAGCTACCCATGTGTTAAAGTGGAATTTCCAGGATGGGAAGATAGGGATCCGACCAATTGGATCCCTAGGGCAAAAAAAAATTTCGTTTTCACAGAACCCCAGAAGAATCCAAGGTGGAAATAACCTCAATCCAACTAGATGGGGATGCAATCCAATGGTATGATTGATATGAAACTTATCATGGAGTCCCCTCGTGGGAGCAATTCAAGAGAGGGCTTCTTGTTCGCTTTGGACCATCTGAATATGAGAATGTTGATGGACAGCTCGTCAAAATTCGTCAGATTTCTACAGTATTGGAATATCAGAGCAGGTTTGAACGATTGTCAAATCAAGCCAGAGATTGGTCTGAACGACAATTGGTGGGTACATTCATCGAAGGACTTAATCCATATATTAGGTGTAAAGTTAAGGCTTGTCAACCCCGCACTATGATCGCTGCAATATCATTTTCACGTTTACATGAGGAAAAAATCAGCAGAGAAAATCGTCGAAACAGAAGTGACAACAAACAGATGAACAACAAGCCACCCGCCCTCATCTATTCCCAACCGAAACCCTAACACCCGAAGGCTAACCCGAGAAGAACTCAAGGAAAGATCAGCGAAGGGTTTGTACTGACACTATAATAAAAAGTGGAGTAGGGAGCACCGATGTAAATAATGGCAACTTCTGATGATTGAACCAATTGGAGAGGACCCAGAAGCTAACAATGTGGACTCCGATCATAAACGTATGGATTCTAATGATGATGTTGGACCTATCATACATACAGTGCATGCATTAGCCGACTACTATAACCTGCAAACTATGAAAGTTGGAGGAACTTTGGAACATTAACATGTTACAGTTTTGATTGATACTGGTAGCACTAACAATTTTATGGACAGTATGGTTGTTGATCGATGATTGGCCTACCACATTAAAGACTGTAACAAATTCGAAGTAAAAGTCGCTGATGGACGAATTTTAACTTGTGATAGCAAATGTTCGAAGATAAAGTTGATTATACAGGGCCAAGAGTTGCTTGTGGACTTCCTTTTGCTACCCTTGGAAGACTTGGAAGAGGTGCTTGGAATTGAATGGCTATGGTGATGTTTCGTGAAATTTTTCTAAACTAATCATGAAGTTTTTTTATTAATGGAAAGCAGGTGATCCTAAAGGGAAGACATGGAAGTAAGGTCACAATTACCACTAGCCATCGGATGGATAGGATTTTTCAGAAGACTACAACACCAAAAGGCCAACCTATTGCTTACATTATCAAGAAGTGGAGACCGTACTTACTTGATCAACGGGTTGTGATGCGCCGCAGATACCCTGTGACTGAAGTGCTGAAATAGAAACTCCTCAAGTTTGATGCTGCTTAACCTTGAGGACAAGGCTGATTTGAAGAGGGAGGGAATTGTTAGGATCCCTTTATTTTTTGAGTTCTTGAATAATGTTTTGTTGAGTTTATTTAGTCCGATAAGAGTCGGATAGAGGTTTATTTAATATTGATTTATTATTAAGAGTCCAAGTCCTGGTAGACTTTAGGTGGAACTCTATAAATAGGGATGTAACTGTTTCTTTTCGGCAAGCAATGAAATATTATTCAGTCTTTTGACAAACCCTAGAAGGTCGATCCTCTCGAAGTGATCATCCCCTTTCTTCCATGATAAAACCCTAAGGTCTTATCATGTGAAAAGAAGACATGAAGTGTTGAGAAAAACTTTATTGATGATCCTGACATATAGGCAAAATAATTTCTAATATGCCAAAGAAATTGTAAATTATCTTATATCTGTAACCAGAAGTATCTTAGCAACTGTTGGAATAAGCAATACATCATACGTAGGGATAGGACTCGAAAAGAATCAACTACTTCTAAGAAATCAACTACATAGGGATAGGCCACCACATTAAAGACCGAGAGGCTAACTACAATTTTAACTACCCAAAAATAAGGAAATCATCAAGTTCCTGACTAAATTCACAAACCCAAATTGCAAATTTTATATGAAAGTTATAATAATCTCAATCACCTTGTCATATATATATCAGGTGGTTCATGATGGGCAAGATTGCTCTACCTAGAGAATGAAGAGAGTATAACCATAAACTTATGAAACTTGCAGGTTAAAAGATAAAAGATAATATAACTATAACATGAATTAGTTTCATGATTAGCAAAAATATCCACAGAAGTCAAAGGATCTTTAACAGATGATACAATCATGTAATTTGCCCTCTCAAGCTGAAATTGCAAACTTTAGCCTGTGTCACCTGCTGGGTGAAATGCATCAATTTATGACCTTATTCAGTTTATCTTGTTTCAAGAAATTAACAAACACTGGAGAACGTAATACAAGATCAAAAGTCTGTTGAATCTCGAATTTTGATGATGAAATCAATTGATAAATTAATGATCTAATCCATGTGTTGAGATAAGTGTTACAGGATTAACTACGATAATGGATAAGGCATAAAGTAGATATTGGGCTAGAGTTAAAGATCGGACGATATGATAAAGATTTAGACGATGTGTCGGAAGCTCACCGAGAGTTCGTCGGGAGTACGCCGAGAGTTCATCGGGAGCTTACCGAGAGTTCGTCGGGAGTTCCCCAAAAGCGTGCCGAGAGTTCACCGGAAGTTCATCGAGACTTCGCCGGAAGAACGATTGACATACCGGACAAAGATTGCTTAGTTAATGCCTTCATTGTCGTAGTTAAAACTTAGATTAAGTTAGGATTAGGAGGTAATCCCACTAACTCAGTTAAGGGCCAACTGGGCCCAAATTAAGACTGAATTGGGCCAAGAGAAAGGCTCATTCAGTGACCCAAGCCAAGGCCGACGATGGCACCGCTCGAGACTCGATCTCCCAAGTTGTTTGGACGATGGTATCGCCGGTAATTAATGCTGCCAGGCAATGGTACCGCCAGAGCCCCGTCTCCGAGGCTCTGTCAGGTGATAGTACCGTCAGACTAGGCGATGGTACCACATAATGTCAAAGTGTCAAGTAGTAGTACCACCCAGTACTGGCGGTACCACCGCCAATACCCCGAAAACCCAAGATGAGACACTTTTTGACTCCAATTCTGAAGCTATTGGGGCCTATAAATACCACATTCCTTTCTGCATGAAAGGGTATCAAACTGTGGACAAAATCTTGAAGTGTTGGGGTGTGAAAGAATTGTAAAAGTGCTAAGTGTCCTCTCTTTCTTCAGCCTTGTTATCATTAGAGAAGAGGTGTGAGGGTTGTAAGGGTTGTCTCCTAAACCCGTGAAAAGAAGAAAGCTTTGTAAGAAGGTGATTGGTCTTCGCCTATTGAAGGAAGACCATTAGTGGACGCTGGTGATCTCAACGGAGGAGGAATCAGAAGTGGATGTAGGTCACAACGACCGAATTACTATAAATCTAGTGTGTTCTTTCCTTACTGTTTTCTTTCACTACTTAGCTGCATTCTACAATTTGCATTTACTTTAAGTCATTATTTTCATTACTTTCCGATACGGGCTTTGTCGAAACGATTGTATCGAAAGAAATTTTCTGAATCAACGAAATTTTTATCGCTGCACTAGTTCACCCCTCTCTCTCTCTCTCTCTCTCTCTCTCTCTTAGTGTCGTCTCCTCTCTCTCTTAGTGTCAGTATTGATCCTAACAAAGTCACTGTTGCAAATAGTTAATATAAAAAGGAGAAACATAATGGAACCTTTTTTCTAGTTCATGCTAAAAACACTATAGTAGTCATGATCATCTTAACTAAGGAAAAGTCATACTATTGAGAAGTAAAAGATCAACAGAAGAAAAAAGTATATATCTACAAAAACTTTATACCTCTGTGATATACTCCGAAAGCTCTTGGTCCGTAGAGAACATTAAAATTTTCTTGGCATTATTAATTGACAAATAATCATAGGCTTTTTCACTGCACCCAGCAATCTCATCTCTGCAAGTAAAAGGAACCATGAATTTGCTTTCAAATAACTTGCAAATTACAATTATATAACTGACAATATGGACAGGGCACTTTACCTGACTGTCTTCGCAAGAAGATCCAAGAAATAAACATAAGTATCATGTGGCACGGTCTGTCTCGCACTTAATACACGATTATAAGCACCTTCCATGAAAGATTGTTCCAACTCCACGGCATGCTTGATGCAAGGATTCTCCAAAGCACTTTGTGGAAGGAGTTCAAGTTCAGTATGGAATTCCGCTATTCTGTTTTGTACAAGCAGCCTCAGAAGGTTAAGGCCCAAGATTGGGTACTCTTGGGGTGACGGTGGTATTATGCCACTGTTCAATAAAAGGCATAAAGAAGTAAGATATGGAAGATGCCAAGTAGCCATGCACTTTATACAAATTCACATAACATCTTTATCTCAAACAAACATATAATGAAAATGGATATAATTTTGTAACAGTATCATCACCAAAGATACAAAACAAGTAAATTAGTTAGGTCATCATTTTCCCACTGTAACTAGTCAGTAGGAGGAATTTGACCAATACATGAGCACCATACCATAATTATCATAGCATATTGCAGGTCACATCTAGTTGATATACAAAATGATCTACCATGCATGACCAATATGCTGGTGTAATCATTTTCTAGTATAATCTATATGTTCTGCCAGTCATAGTCAAAGTTCAATCTAGTATAATCTCTCTCTCTCTCTCTCTCTCTCTCTCTCTCTCTCTCTCTCTCTCTCTCTATATATATATATATATATATATATATATATAACAGCAAACTTAACAAAAGAATGAATTTCAAAGAACATACCAAGTATCAGTATAGAACGGTTTGAGTTGAAAGAAATCTCTTTCAAAAGCATCTTGATCTTCAGTCTTCACACTCAAGACAACAGCATGCTCATATATATCTCCTGAAAATTCTCCAGCAACAGCAATCATGAATTCATTTTGCAAACAATTTTATTAAATTTAGAAGTTTACAATAATTAATGCAATCCAAAAAGGAAAAGAGAAGTTTTAGCATAAATGAACCGATAAAAATGAGCTTTCAAAAATTTCTATAGATGATATACACGAGATACAAACAAAAAACAAGCATCAATGTCAAGTGAGAGTGTGGAAGTTGATATCAAATAGATATTGACTGAGGGCTGCATTTGCCAGCCGTCATTCAGCTTGACAGCACATGTGAAATTAGAAACCTTGGATAACAAAGATGAAACAGTCCATATAATGTTCTTTATTTTACTTTCAGGATCACTGGTTTGCTTTGCATAAATCTTTAACGACCTTATTATCCTTAATCTGGATATCTAGAGAATTAATTAAAAAATTATCATACAAGTATAGACAATTGAGAATTTAACTTCAAACTCCCTGACCTGTTTCTCCAGAATTTTCTGAAGGCAGAGACATGCAAAGGATTATGGGACTAAACTGAGTCAAGCAGTTCCACAAAAGATTAAATTACAAGTGCATTAGACAAATAAGAGTGTTGACAGAAACAATTTTGATTGTTACATTGTCATGTAAAAGGCCTAAGGTATTGAAAATCTTAAGACACAATTAGCCTATATTTTGGCAACAATAGTAAAACATGAAATGAACAAAGTGCCAATCTGGAGAAGAAAGAGCCCAGCTGATTACCTAAGTGGATTAATCAGTCCATATTTATAGGTCAGCATCAACATGGAAACCAACTTCAATTTCCTGTTTATCAGCTTTGAAAGACAAGGTGAAAAAAATGATGATGCATAAAGTAGCACATGTGCTTCTTTAGTGTTTCCTATGTGTCTGTAATGCTTTTACTAATGATTGTAATTTGTGGCACAAGGAAGTGCTGGTATCTTTGTGGCCTGGTACAATTGGCACAATCATGTTTCATCGTAGCCAATATATTGATGTCTTTGGCATCAATCAACATGTTGCATGCTGATAACATTTTGACATAAAGTTTCATATAGTCCTGACACATGCCAACTGCCACAACAATCCTTGGTTTTTTAGATAATAATTGCCCACAATTATAAACTAGATTCCATCAAGCAAAATGTGCAGCATTGATCGAAAACTTTTAGATATGAATTGCATATAGGAATGAAGATCCCATTAACCAGTGAAATCAAATGACCAATACTATATTGGAAGGCAACATGCTGTCACATAAGTGCTAAACTGCCATACATGCTTCATTAATAACCGAAAAACAGGAAAAGGAATAAATCCTTATGAGATAAAATTTTACTTGCAATTGTCAGTTCCTGGACAGCATTTGGTGTTTCCTCATATGATGGTGGCAAACTAGGAAATTTTGTCAGCAGAACCTGAAAAGTTAACAACAGCTTTTACATACAAGAAATCCTAGAAATATAAGAGGTTTCACTGAGTAAAATAATAACATAAATAAAAACAAAACTAATTACAAATGATTGCATTACTACTATCCTTAAAAGTGATTTATCATGGCCTTGATTATGTAACATAAATATTAAAAAATCATTTATGTAAAATATATAAAAAAAAATCCATTGTAAATCCTGAGATTCCAAATAAATTTCACAAAGACATTGTAGGCTAGTAACCATATATTTGACCTATCAATTTGACCACATTAGTAATTGATCTAATTTGCAAGCATCACACCCCCAAGATGACATCCTAGAGGCATGAACTTATCTTAAAAAGAATATAATTTTTTAACTCTCCATAATCCAAACCTAGGATCCATAACATAAAAATTTGAGGACACCAGATGCATTTAATTCTCATTCACACACACTATAAAACCTATGCAATTTATAATCATTCAACACATCGCTTAATAATCACTTATAAACTCAAAAAAATCATTAACAATCACTTATAAACTCACAAGATCAATGAAACACTATAATCACATCAACATAAAAACTTCAGATTTAACATTCTAACTTTCAAAACATGAAAGGTCTTTTAACATTTATAACACACACTAACTCATACTTTTGGATAATATTACAAGCAAGGTGTTCTTTACAATAACATCTTGTTAAACCACTAAAAACATGCCACAAACTTCTAACATTCCACTACCCACTACCCACCCAAAACTAACATGAGTGTGAGTGACAAACTAACCTGCAAAATTTATATAGCAACAATGTAGGCTACAAAGCTCAATGATTGACTAGCATATCCAATGCATAAAGATGACAAATCATGTGGCATAAGCATCAAGGTGCAAAGCATGGATTCAAAAGAATAAATATCATTTCATTAGATTCATACTTGACAAGGGAGCAAACAACAACATATGAGCCTATCAAAAACAATTGCAAGGAATGAGCTCAAGTGCGGAGTCATATTCAACATTCCATTCAATTCATTGATATCAAAGGAGCATACAACAACATATGAGCAAATCAGAATCAAAATGTAAGGTATGAGCTTAAGAGTCATGTCTGATATTTCATTAATTCATTGATAGCAAGGGAGCAAAGAATAACTTATAAGCAAGTCAAGATTCAAAAGTATGAACTCAAGTGTCATATTTGATATTTCATTTGAATAATTGATAACAAAGAAGCAAGGAGCAACATATTAGCAAATCAATATCAAATTGCAAGGCAATGAGCTCAAGAGGAGAGTCATATTTGACATTTCGTTCAGTTCATTCATATCAAAGGAATGCATAGCAACACATAAGAATGTCCTTTGGCATCATATCAAAGGAACATAGATGGTGAAATGAGATCATAGCATAGCACAATGCTACCCATTTCTAGGTGTCCACTAGTCTATAGCTCATCATGGTTCCACAACATAACAAAATCCTTTTCCATTTCTGGCAAAGGGTCCACACTATCTCACAAATACCGGAGTACAAAAATATCATTCTGATCAAGGAAGTGAAAATGTACCAAAAGCACATGTGAAACAACAAAAATATATATATATGCATGTATAAAGCAATATCAGAGATAACTTGAACATATGCACAATTCATTCAATTATAGCCAAGATCAATGACTAAGAAAAAAAAATAGTTTAATCCGCAACACGAGTCTCATTGAGGATTCTTAGCTAAAATCAAGTTCCAAAAAGTAGAAGCAAGAATTGGTAAATTTGAGAACCAATCTATTCTGGCAGAATCTATAAGGTAAATTGCACGAGATGTTCGGATAGGCAATTATGCTCCAATTTATTCAAACAAGATATTGTTCGAAAGATATACGAGTCTACTTTCAAATAAAATAGGTTTTACAAATTAGAAATGTCTACAAAAATGTACAAGCAATTTAATGCAGACAGGCCAAAACATATCCTCTTTGTTTAGCAGAATTCAAGAGATCAAAAGAATTCATCATTCGGACAGCCATTTGTCCTTCAAATCATTCAAATAGGGTATTGAATGAAAGATAATATAGTCTAGTTTTCATCCGAAGATATTTTACTTGATTTAGAGTTTTGGACAGAACACGATAATTAAAACAAGGCAACTCGAATCATTTTGCCTCTATTTCACAGAATTCGAGAGATCAATTAAAATAAATATTTTGATAGACAATTGTACTTCAAATCAGTCAAACAAGGCATTGACAGAAAGATAATCAAGTTTCTAACAAAAGAGAGTTTGCTCAATTTCAAGCTTTGTACAGAATATTATAGTTAAAATAAGACAGATAGGTCAAAATTTATAAAATTCCAACATTACAAATTTACAACTCAATTGAGGTTGATGCTATCGGAAAGAGGCAAAGCTTTATAAATTATTCATAAAAAGAAGGAATCAAAGATAACACTGTAGAATACGATAGAACACTTGCCTTAAAAAGCTAATCCCAAAGATGTTGAATTAGCCCGAATTCCTTAACCAAAGCAAGAAGACTTTGCTTCTTCTTCTCCACTTTCTTCCATTCTTCCCTTCACTAGGTAAAGGGCAACAAGCTTCTAACTTGGTAATCTTTTTTCACTTTTGTTCTCTAATTACAAGTGTATAGATAACACAAAAGGTTGTAATGTGGCAAGCATGCAACATAGAGGCATAGGTGTCAACAGTTTAGTAAGCATGGATGGCAAACTACTTTATTTAGCTAGTGACAAGTACTCCACTTCCTCTATTCTCTCTTTTCTTTTCATATTTTTTCTTCTCCACTAACCTAATATGAAAACTTCACAAATCATATCCAAATTCTAGGATTCACAATTAGGTCCCTAGCATTAATCCTCCAATATAAAATTACTTAATACAAGAAATTATTAAATAAATTCTCACATTAAAATAATAATAAAATTTTGTCATATCATAAATAATTCAAAAATGAGAGATATTACAGCAAGAACTACTAAAGATCATTGCATAGGAAAATTATAATAATGAGACTAGTTATGTGAAAGAACATCAAACGAGGTAGGGTTACTAATAGAGATAACCTTGGGGGTTGGGAAGGTGAATTTTAGATTAATTTCAGCTTCTACAGAAGGATTAAATTTAGGATTGATTGGTTCAAGGACATGGGTATATAGCTGCACAGAAATAGAAAGATAAAAAAATCTTTCTGAATCAAGGCAGAATTCGATAATCTGCGCTTCTTATAGATGAAATAAAAAGAGTTCAAACAGAAAGATCCTTGCATGTCCTCAAAGATTATAACTACATTGAGATTAATTGTGCAGATTTAACACAAAGGTAATGGTTCACAAGGGCATGAAACTCTAGGTTGATTGATTAAGAATGTCAAATAGCATCTCAAGAAAATGACTTGAACCAGCATAATGTCAAGGAGGTAGTATCTGAATCACTATAATTCATTCCCAAGAGGTAGAGAGATCCTGTATCCTACAGAACACTTATACAGTTAAAAATAGTAAGCCTACTACTAGATGGATAGATTTTTCATGGAGCATACTCAAATGGTTGCTAATGATAAGATAATTCAGTTTGCTTTCCCTCACATGACTAGTCTGGAGGCAGCTGGTGTAATAGATATATTTTTTAAAGGACCTAATTGCAAATGATAACTTAAGAAGGGTCAAATTGACCCTTTAAAAAAAGAAAAATAGAGAAAAAGAAGCAGAAGAGAAGAGAGAAACAGAGGAAGAAAGAGAGAAAAATAAATAGAAAGAGGAAGAGGGAGAGAGACAAAGAAGGAAGAAATTTACCAAGCCTTCATTTTGCCACCAAGGAGATCATATGAGAGCTCAGAAAATCAAGGAGGTAGTATTTGTAGGAAACAGTAATCGTGCTCATGACAAAAGATGACAGAGGAAAAGAAAAAAAATGTCAAGATGACAAAAAAGAGGAAATTGACAAAATTCTGGAATAAAAAGAAAATATGACTATATATATATATATATAAATATATATATATATATATATATATATATATAATTTGAAAAATCTACATATGGTGCAGTTGTTTATGTTTTATGTGCGATTAGTAAATTATATTTTTGTATAATTAGGATAGGGCATCTTGATTATTGAGTGAGTTTAAGGATCCATGACCAATATAAGTATCCAATAACTATCTCTAGCTTGTTTTGAAAAGTAATACTACATTTGTTTGCATTTAATGTATAAGTTTGCAAATTGTGAAAATATATGATTTGCACCTATTAAATGAAATAGGTATTGGTTTTCAAAACTATCTGTTTTGATAATATAATTATTCAAAAATATTGAAAAATATTTTTAGATTTAAATGTTTTATGAGTCTGTTACATTTGAAGTAAAGTGTAAAATGAATATGTACAAACGTTAGTTTGCTAAATGCATTTGATACCTTATATTGCATGACATTCAGTTGTCTAGTGGGTATCACTATGATCAGCACCCTAAACCCTACAAAAGTTATATATTGGTATATGTTTTAGAAACTAAAGCATGACCCATGGATAAATATGTTACCTACAACATAGGAGGTAAACAAACTTCTAGATCCTGTCACAAAATATAACGTGGTCACAGCCATTAGTACTACTATGGCTACTATTCTATCATATACCTTCAGCTATAGTAATATTTATTTATGAATTCAGATTTGCATTCTTAGATATATTTATTTAATTTGCGAAGAGTTATCGGTAGACACTTATAAGAATGCAACATCTATTCTGATATGTAAGTTAACCGTATATGTGACTTTATTTCTGAAATGTGCTTTGAAAAGATATTCTAAGTACTTCATATGAACAAATTTATAGTTTGAGATGCATATAAAGGTTGTGTATGATTTTATCTAAATACTAAAAAAATAAAGGACTTAAGGTTCTTGTACCTTTTGTTTTGAAAGTACGATTGAATGCAAGACCTTATAAGTTTTAAACAAATTATTTATTGGTACATATTTGTGATCATTTTTGTCTAGTATGTGAATTATGATGCTTACTAAGTTGTTGCTTGCTCATATGTTTATTCTTTTTTTTTTTTTTCAAAATCCCAAAAGTAGAATGTCATAGACATGTTTAAGGAAAAAATTTGTGATTCGGAACCCTCTTACGTTTTGGACTTGTATAATATTAAAATAATATGCTGCTTCTAGATCCGATATGGAGATCTTGTAAGTATGTATCTAAACTTGTGTTGAATGGGATACAAGGTTCTTTTGGTCGTTTATATGATTGAATATGACTTCCAGGATGTGTACATGAATTATGTCACTTGTTCAGGTTTACGCCTTATAATTTTCATAGGGTTTCTTATGGAAATTGCGGTGTTTCTAGCTAAATTGGAGAGTTAAAGATGATGTTGCAAATAGACACATTACATTTTGGTACAACACATTGCAAATGGCATGACAATAGGGCAACTAGTATCATTTTATTCTTGAGAAGAAAAGTAATTAATGTAGGTTGTAACCTTTTCAAACAGTTATCTTTGACTGTGTATAAATAAATATACATGAATATAGCAAGCAATTCATGTACTCCAAAATTTTGGTTTCGGATTATTTTTCTACAAGTCTAAATTTCAATTATTTTCCTAAGTTCCATCACATCATCACCTTGCAGGAGTAGGTTCCACGTAGATTTCTGTGCAGAACCCTAAAAAGCTCGAATCAAGCGTTCGGGGATTTTTTGATCCATTGATCCACAAAGAACAAGGTTAGAAACCGTGTTAAATCTGCAGCAATCACCCAGGGAAACCCTCCAGGCGAAGCAATTGAAAGAAGAAGGCACATCTCTCGGCACCAATCCCTTCTAATTTCTGGAAAGAAGGGGAGATGGGAGAGCGGAGCGTACCTTGAGGTGGGAGAGGAGATCGGTGCAGGCGCCGAAATCGTTCCTCACGAACGCGGCTTTGAAGCGCTCGAAGAGCTGCGTGACTTCCACCAGCTTCGGATCCATCTCTCTCGTCGCCTCCTCTCTTCCGATCAAACCCCAACCTTCGCTCCTCTCTCTCTCCTCCAATCATCATAATATAATTGGACGGCGATTTACATATCAAAAGGAAAGGTTGTAGGGCTGGGATTCCCTGTCATGCATCATGCAGGATTCACGCAGCCGGCCTACAGAGGTTTCATGGGCCTCACATCAACTTAGCCTTTAGAAGTTGGCCCTAATTGGTCCGAGATGTGACCAGTTTTAAGTCCCAATTGGATTCACATAAATGGGTCGGAGTGGGCGATGCAATCCACCCGTGAGTCTCATTAACGGGTCCAGTTCGAACCTACATCAAGTACACCCGTCATGCTGGACCTGGACTGGAATGTGAGTCGAGTTAAACAGGATCTTGGTCTAAATTAACTTCTGCTTGGGCCTACGTGGGCCCAACTAGGATCATAAACCTGGCTATAAAGTGATGCACATATAAGTTCAGCAAATCATTGTATTGTTTCCATCATTTTCTTACCAAATATGTTCAAGAAGTTTAAAAGGTGTGCAAGTCCTTCCAGAGTTAAACGTAATAAAACTTAAGAGTCCTAACTTAGAGAGCATACTTGAGAGGACATTTTATAATGTTGTTTCATGATCGTTTGTTCAAATATGTGCATTAATATTTGGAATGATTATGCACCTCTCTTCGTTTGGGTGAGATCGATATCAAGATGTTAATCAATATAGTATCAGGGCTATTGGATACATGACATCAAAGTGTTATCACATCATACCATACCAAAGTATCGATTACGTAGCATCAAGATCTCGATTATATATGATAGGAGAATGATGATATGGTTGACACCTTACCATATAGTCGACACCTTGGTACTACATAATCAACGCACTAGTGCCATATGACCACCAACACAAGGATGTTTGACAATTCGATGTCATATTAGTTAATATCTCGACATGGTACCCCTCTTCAGATATTACAAACCGTATTTACAATTTCTGCACGTTCTTCAAATTTGTGTGATATAATTTCACTATAATTAAGAGAGGTATATAATTATCCCTAATATTAATACACATTCTCGAGCATAACAATCATGAAAATACCCATAAAAGACCATCTCAAGTGTGTTTTCTAAGCTATAAGACACTCGAGTTTTCTTACGCTTAATCTTTGAAGGACTCAACACGGGTGACACCTCATAAATAAGTCTAACTTAAAAATCGAATGAGCTATATAAACATACCCTCGATATAATTTTATAGGGTTCGACATCTTAAAGAATAAAGGGGATTTGATACTTTCTCAAATCCAATCATGCATATTAAAAATTAGCACCAAAGAATAGTTCGATATTCTCCGGAATATATGTTAACACTTGCAAAATTAGCAAAATCAAGATACATACGATTTGACCTTGGTTGACTTTGAGTTGAATAACTAGAATATGTATTAACACTCGTAAAATTAGCACTAGAGAATAGTTCAATATATGTATATTAAAAATATTTTAAAGAATTTTTTCTCATGCTCGTGCTAACGTGATAGGCCTAGTTGATTGATTTTATGAGAATAGATGCTATCATTTGCATGGTTTTCCTCTGGATACAAATTCTATAAAAACAAAATCAGAAGATAGAACAGAGGCATTTGTCAACAACGTACAGTCAGTCAGATACTCCCAACTTTCATGCTTGAACAATATCAATAACTTTTGGCCCGCTTAAGCAATGGTAACACTCAGGCAAAGGCAAATGTTATAGGTTAGTCTATTCCTTTTTGTCTTTCATCTTATATTGATTTTATAATTTCAAATAAATGGATAATTGATAGTGGTGTTACAGATCATATTGCCTCATCCCCTAGTCTATTACATAAAATAAATATCTCTTCACATTCCTATGTTGGACTGTCCAATGTAAAAAAGGCACAAGTAGCTTCTATTGGTTTTACCAAACTTGATCATGAAATTATTCTTTCAGATGTTCTTTGTGTGTCTTTCTTTTATGTTAATCTATTATCAATCAGCAAGATGACTAAATGGTTGAATTATTCAATCATCTTTTTTTTTTTTAATTTTTGTCTCTTATAGGATTTGACAACGAAGAAGATGATTGGTCTGAGAAGCAACATAATGGTCTTTACTAATTTTTTTAATTTCATCACCTCTAACAAAATCGCTCATCAAAAAGCAAACAATACATCTTCACAACATGATCTATGGTATAGATGTTTTGGCCACCCATCCATACAACCTATGAGGCATTTTGTAGAATCGATATATGAAATTTCGATTTGCTCTAATAAATTTGTGATATTTATCCTTTAAGCTAAACAAGCTAAATCTCCTTTAGTCTAAATTTAATTTCTACTACTGAACCATTTGAATTAATTTACTGTAATATTTCGGGGGGGGCTTTTCAAGTTCTTTCTCATTCAAATGCTTTGATACCATGTTTTGAAGAAAAAAAAAGAAAGCATTGATTATAATTATAAGTTCTACATAACCCTATTTACAGGGTTAAAGAGAATCTAATTAATATAAATCAACTAATAAATCAAGAAATATTGAATCTCTATTTTTGGATACGAGAACTGAGTTACTGTTTAAGGAAAATAAAATGATCAAGCTCTTCTTTTCTTCTCTCTTTTTCACTGTTTTTTTCTCTTTCTCTTTCTATTGACTTAGAGGTTAGGATCGACTAGTTTTCGATGAATTAAAGGTTGTCCCTTGTTATATAGGGTGGGGTGTGGGGAGAGAGTCCTAAAGAGTTTAGGGCTCTCAAGATTGACACCCCTTGTTGTTATTTTTAATTGATCGCTAGGTTTTTTTTAAATCCAAGTCTAATTTAGATTGGATCTTGTTGTTAGTTTGAGCTAGTCAAACTAGCTATATCTAACTTTGAAATTTAAGATTAAACTCGAGTTGAGATATTGAGATTGAATCATACTAATTAGAATTTGACTTGAACTAGACTTAGAGCTTAATTTGAGTGAGATTAAAGCTGACTTAAATCTAGTCCTTAATCTCGTATTCAAACTTAAGTTTGCTTCAACTGGGTTAAAATCGATTTAGATTTACTTGATCATCCCCAATCACTAACAAGAGACTAAGAACAATGAAATAAAAGATTCAATTGGAAACTAAAAAAATGAGAGTGAAGACTTGCCATTGAAGAATCGGTGGCCAACACAAGTAAAAGCTCATCCAACTCAACTTTGGAGGCTTAATTAAAATAAAGATTTGAATAAGTAGGAAGAGGCATTGGCATTGAATTAATTAAGGGAGCCATTTGTACTACTCTATCTAACAAAGTCAATTGTACTGCTAAGAATCTAAGTGACGATTGCAAAGATATTGGTGAACAAAATCTTTAGACGTGCTCTTATACCCAATAATTGGCATAAAATACTACACATCTCCATCATCGTTTTTATAGCCACATAGAATGGGCAAAACCATTGGGTTGCCGAGAACAAAGCATCGGTAGGCCCCCTTGGAACAAAGCATGTTGTTGGTATATTCGATGAGGAAAGACAATATATTGTGGATCCAAAGTGGTTCATGACATGCACTGTAATATTATTTTGCTAATATAACATTGATCTTGTTTAGATCTTCGTTTTTACATAAATATGATGTTGGAGTTGGTATTTCTTGATTAGAATCTATTCGGGGAAACAAGTTACTTGAAAGATATAAATTCAAGTATGAAAATAAACTTTTGGATATAATGAGTTTGTTGTTTTGTGTAAATACTCTATGTATCCCAAATTGGCTAGTTAAGAGATAGCTGGCAACCAAAATATATAATCAAAATAAATATAATTAATAATGTCCATCATGTTAGAACTAAGAGAAAATTTGATGAAGGTGATATTAAAGAAAAAAAAAGAAGCATTTGATAGATCTAAAGCGAGTAAAAGAAATTTTTTCTGAGGTTAATATAAGAAAGGGTACAAGAGGCCTCCAACTCAGGTTGGTTTAACTCGAGAAAAAAAATTATTTTTACATTTATTATTCCTATGTAGTGAAAAGTTGTATTTTCTTTTTTCATGAAAATAAGAAAGAATGTTGAACTATATAATCTTGTATTCATTATTACGCATTTGTGATTTGACTAACTTCTTGAAGTAGCTCAAATCTCTAATAAAGTTTAATTAAAGAGGGATGTTTAAATATTATATTTGTTATTTTTATACATGCAATGAAGAATTAATAAATCTTATGTTATTTGTTATTTCTTCGTAAAAATTAATAGGAGCATCAATAAATCTTATGTTCACTATTTTACATTTAAAGATAAAATATACCTTCATTTGAATTATTATTGTAGCCAACTAAAATTAAGACCGTTTGGTATGAGCATAAAAATAATCATACTACTATTATATGAAATAAATTTAATATAAAAAATCAAAATCAAATAATCATATATCTAAAATTAAGATTACATATCTTTGGATATCAATTCCAAATACATTTTTCTATGATTTGAGTATGCATCGTAGGACAATCCGTATGAAGCAATACTAATTTACGAGAAAAATGCTAGACTATTCTTTTTTTTCTCTTACTATCTTTCACAAAATCACGATCAATGATGGAATAGGGATTAATAGAAAAAATAATTCCTAAAAGATTCGAGAGTAAAGTGTTTAGGATAAATAATTAGAAGAGTCACTTCTATTAAGATTATCTCCTAACGAATTATGTCATAAATGACTTACTTTCTATTGGTGATAATCCTAATCAGAATTCAATTAGAACTTTAATATATGTTAATCAATTAAATAAAATCATATTATCAAATATTTTGTGCATATGAAAGCTTGGAAAAAAACAGATCAGAAGTCAAAGCCTTATCAATGTTTATGATTGGATACTTAACAAACTAATTGTGGGAGTGTCATGCCTTTCAACCTAATATTCCTAAGCCTTCTTTTTGGATGACTAGGTCTTTGAAGGTCTTCTCAAGCCAAAGAACTCTTCAGAGGCCATTGACAACACTGTTTCTCCACACCATAGAACACTAGGATAACGCACTTACCAACTCCATGCTATATATAATATTTCAACAACGTTAAGTAGTATACAACTTCATGGATTGTCAAGAGTCACAATGTGCGTAATAATCCCTTGTTTAGTGTATTCATTTTCAAAGTATGAGAGAAATGCTAGAAATTAGGAGAAAATATCAAATTTACTACTCATAATTTAACATGACACACACATTACAAATTTGTTAACTAATCGTTTCTTTTATTAAATGATTGTTTTTTAACTTCATGGCTGTTATGACTATTTTGGTTTTTATTCCTTGTAGATTTTTAATGTTTTCGGAGTGCTTCAATCGTCAAGATCTTTACTAACTAAGCTAATTACCATCTTTCTTTCCTTGTAAACTTCACTCTTCGTTTTCATTTATATTCCTTTGGTTTTACTTGTGCTTATGTGAAACTGCTATCACTTTGTTCCTTAGAGATGAAAACTGCATCCTTCGCTTCCCTTAGCTCTGCAAGAACACGTTTGAATCATTTTTACAAACACTTGGTCTCCTTCGCTAAAGTGATGTTCTTGTGCAGAAAAGTTGCTACAGTACTCGTGAAGTTTCGGTGTCCTGCGCATAAAGGGTGAGGAGCAGAGAGGAAAGCCTGTAAAGTCTCAACCAAAGTTCTCTTTTATCCTTATCCATGAAATCTGTATGGTGGCTATCTTGTTCTGACACTTCATCCGGCCTCTCGCTGTTTTGAGTATTATTTAAGGATTCTATGAAAGCTGCGTCGGCTGGAAGCTTCTGTTGAATGATAGCAGCCATGCACCGCCGACAACATCAACCAAACAAGTAATCTAATGAAAGGATAAGAGAGCCAACGAATCATCAACAAAGCTGTCAACCAATAGAGACGCTGTTTGGCCCAGAGCGCGTTGACCACCATGCTTATCCACTCCTTTGTGATGCGGGTAAACAACAATTCACTTCCCTGAATGCTTGAAAGGTAGCAGGTTTTACTGTCTTCCTACCATAAAACTCTTGCATGTGATCTCAACTCAAGTTGATTAACGTACAAACAGATCATGTGCTTCGTGTACCTTTATCTGTTTATTTCATGGGGGACGATCGAGGGAGGTGGCGAAAGCTCTGGTCAAGAGGAGACGAGGAAATGCATGCGCAGTCAAGATCTGTGTAAACGATGCGAGGCTGTGGTGGTCTGTGAGGAAGAAGAGGCGGCAGGAGAAAGAGAGTTGAAAGCAGCAGCATTCCCGCTGCTGTTACTTTCTTCGCTGCGTCCACCTTTCTCGAGCTGTGGCCCTGTGGGCGACCTGTCCGATTGCTTGCTCTGCTGCGGCCGCACTCTCGAGTCTGACGGGAGTGATGCCGCAGGGGCAAAAACTCCAACTGCAGGAGTACAAGGAGCATCGGCCGGTGGTGCTGCAACTGTGTAATCTGGAGGTGGAACCCATATGCCGCTGACCACCACAAACTGGGGAATGGGAGGATTGGTGGTGTTGCTGCTGCTGCTGTGAACTGCAGTGCTCGGCCGCCGATTGTGCAGCCGGTATTTCTGCAACAACGAGATCACAAACATGTAAACATCTTCAAAGTTCTCTAGTGCTTTGGTTTGACCTCATTTCAGTGGAAAAGGATGAACAGGATCCATGAATAGATGTTAAATACAATGCTGAACTCTATGACAAGAAATGGAAGTAGTCATCTTCATGTTGAGTGGCCTGAACAATTATTAGGTCCACGAAAAGATGCAGCGTAACATTATATGGTCCATGCAGTTGTTTGCTCAGCCAAGCATGTGCAGAATAGAACATAAGGGAAAGAGGGAGATAAGCTTATAATAAAAACCTAGCAATTATGTCACGACTGAGATGTTTACTAGTGATTGCCATTGTCCAAATGACCAAACAACAATCTGAGGTGGGAGGGTTCTCGTTTATGTCTATCAGAATTTGTGCTGATAAGTTCCAGGGAATCTGTTCCTATGGGGCAAAAATATCCAAGGAATCTGATGCTTTGCAGACAACCTAACATCATCAAATGCAATGCATCCAACTCAGGGAGGTGCGCATTCTCTACTTTGGTTTCCATTTGCAAGATTCAATAGTGATGAACAGAAGAAACTGAGAGAAGAAGAATCGACTTTGGGTAAAGATACTCCCGAACCTGCAAATGGCTCTTGACCTCATCGTTGGTGAGGCCATCCACCTTCATCAGCTCTCTGATCTGCTTCGGCGTCGCGACTGCAAGCAATCAGCTCCAATTCCTCAGAAACAAGATACGTGATGGTAATCATACAAATCGTATGTATATGATGAGAACGGCAGGTGTTTCTTTCATGAACTCGGTGACCTACCATGGGAGCCACCGAGCTGTTTGAGGGCGTGCAGGAATCGTTGGTGGAGCTCCGGTGACCAACACCGTCTCGCCTTCCTATGAGGCTGAGACTGCCCTTCCTTCTCCTTCTCTTCTCCACCAACACCACTACCACCAACTCCTCCTTTTCCACTAGTTGTTGAACTGGAAGCTGGGATTGGTGCTGCAACATGCTTTTCTCTTTCGAAGGGGTGGAATGCTCCCCCGATCCTCCTGGCATTCACTGCTATCGGTTTCGTCGGAGGTTCCTAACACAGCAAACATCCATCAGATTCGGCTCACGAATAAGACAACATGAAACCTCGGTAGAAGGAAGCAATAGAGATCGTTCTCACCACTTTCCCAAATGCGTCCGCTTCCTGATTCCAGAGCTGGACGGATCTAAGCCAGTCCGGCTTCTCATCGGCCCTGGTCGCCGCCGACCCGCTCTTCTTGGCAGCTCCATCGACGCTTCTATCCTCCGACGAAGACGAGCTCGGCTTCAACGGAATGAACTCCTCCAGAATAGGCCCGTCTTCGCTCATCGTAGCATGGCCATTCATCTGTCGTCTTGCACTGTCGATGGCTGCAACCAGTCGTCACTACGTTTCATCAACGAAGACAAATAACCAGAAGACATAGCGACAACATGAGAGAACAATCGATTCTATATACCGTGCGTGACGATCTGCAGGCAAAGAGGCAGCTCTCTCTGAAACACCTGTATCTTCTTCCGCTCTTCCTCGAGCGCACGAACGTAGTCGCCACAGCTCGGCAGCGTCGCAGAGAAATCCATAGCTTGGTCTGATGCCAAAGATTTGAGATGGTACAGGTATAAGCAGACGACTGCGGGGGAGACCGTCAAGGAAAGAAGTTTCTGCTTTGTTTAGAGCTCAAATGATCGAGGGGCAGTGATGGGGGAAGAGAGGCGGAATCAGCTAACATGGGGATGGCATGGGAAGGAACAAAGAGGGGAGATCAGAAGAGGAGAGGCGTATAGGAGGGGAAGCCAAGTACGGGGCGTCGCGTGCATATCAGAATCTTTGCCAAGATCTTACAGAACCGTTATATTCAGTGTAACGTTTCGTTATCATCCTCCATATCGAGTCATCGATGATAACTAGACGCTAACTATCATAAATATGTATCGGGATACTGAATTGAGGACTATAACGGGCGTCATTTTGAGATGAAGCGAAGGAAAAGTAGGCGGCTGTGCGTTGAATATTCCCCGAGCGATTCCGCTGCGATGGACGCGCTGGCGCGGACGTCAACGACGAGGTGAAGAGATAAGATCGAACGACAAACGGCTGGATCTTCGACACGATGCAAGCAGACGGCCGTGATCCATTCGGTGGGGGAAGGAATCAGCTCAGAATCTTCGGCATACAAGAGGACGACACGCCACATCTGCCAGCCGCGTGAGAGAGAGAGAGAAAGAGAGAGAGAGAGAGAGGGGTGTGCTCAGTAGGTCATCTTCTTGCAGGTCATCCTCGGCTTGGGCAGAGCTTTCGATGGCTTCTTGCAGCGAAGGATTCAGATTTCTGAGGCAGGACATGGATTGGCCTTTGAGGACTGCCAAGGGGCAACAGGCAACCATTTCTTTGTGCACACGTGACGGGATTGAATCGAAGAGACTGACCCCAACTTCCGAAGAATATGCCTTGTGATATTTATATGTCATCCCTCGGGCTGTTCCTTGGAATGGAGTGTTTTAGTGGTGGTGGTTAGGTCTCGGACAAGGATGTCATGCAGCCAATGGATTTATTAGTTTCAGATATATTATGTCTGTTCCAATTAGGAAGAGAACATAAAAAAGAAAAAAAGAGAACCCTTCTCCTTCAGATGGCAGACTAAGGTTCCTGACAGATGAAATTATGGAAGGGGAACAGGTGTTTTCTTCTTGAGGTGCTTGGGATGTAGTGCCTTCGGGGTATCTCAAATGCCAAGGTCAAATGACATTTCTGCGAGGAGAAAGTCATACAGACAGCTTATTTATCCTCAAAGAAGAAAGTCAAATGATGTACGAACATAAGGGTTAGGCAGCTTAAATTGTATTTCCACGCCTACATTGAACAGCTTAAATCTTACAATTTCGGAATAGTATTTACTCTATTCAGAATCACATATTGCTATTTGCATAGGGGCAAATGATTCTCAAACATCATTCGGTCACGCATGAACACAAAGGTTTTACGGGAACCAATATGGTTTAAAAAAAAAAAAAGATTGCCATCCACTAAAAAACCAATGTGGTTTAAAAAAATAAAAACTGAGAGAAAATAAAGTAATAATTTATCTGAAAAAAATTTAGTGGATAGCAACCTTTTTCTATTTGGTTGAAAATAAGGGAGAATACATGGTATGGTTCAACAAAACCTTGTGTTATCTCTTATATTTTTTTCAAATTATCTTATATTATTATCTTCTTATCCTCCAGTAACATAAGAGGGTTATCTCGCTCATCACCATGATCGATCACTGGAAGTCCTCATCCTCATGAGCGAGTAGTCCAAAATTATGAATAAAACTATGTCGCCAGTTCGAGTTTAGCCCTTATTGTACACTGATTACTAAAGCCTTAAATCATAATGCGAAGGTCATTAAACTTGTCTTCCTCATAATTGAGTTCGTCATAGCTTTACAGTGAGAGTTGTCATCAGTCCATAGTTGTTGAAGCTATGGTTTGAAGTGTTCTTTAGGTTTTTCTCACTAATTTGATATAATATTCTCTCATTCCTTAATTGTTAGAATCATTTGTCTTACAAAACTTTCTTTTAAGTGAGAAAATAGTGGTTTTCAAAGTACAACATCTTTAAACTCTTGAACTCCACCGAATGTAACGAATTTATCCGGCTCTAGCTTGACGTTGACGTGTTGGTTTCCTTGGGTTGCCACGATTAGACTTTTGAAAGGCTCTTTGATGAAGTGATAGTTTTCATTTATCATCAGAATTAGGTAGAGAACTTAAGTGAGCAAAGAGATCTTAAGAGAATACTTAAAGAGCCTATAGATTCTTAATCAAATGTGTGAGGAAGAATAAGGAATTTGAGAGGGTTTTATAGGGTTTTGGAAGATCTCTCTTTCCAAAAATGCTCCCAAAACTAACTATTATTTAGTTATAGGAAGAGATAAATTTTTTTTTTATTTTTTTAATTATAAAATGATTAACAGACACTAAAAATAATTGTTATGTGACTGTTTAAAGGGGACAGGTCCTTTGCCCCTCCTTTAACTGTTGGGTTTGGTGTGAACCGTTATTGTTTAACCCCAACCATCGGTCAAACCCAACATTGACTAAGCCCTCTTTTTTTTAAAAATATGTGATATGACATATTTCAGCACCATGGCAGCAAACGAGGACCATGACAGAGCCGACAAAGGACCTCTAGACTGACATGATGCGACATCTCGGACCTGAACGAGACGATCACACGACCTCCGTGTTGTTCGACTTCGTACAAGTCAGTGTCGAATACCACGAAGCAATTTCGGAAAACTCGGAATGATGCCGCACGGCAGGGACCCGTATGGGTCGATCGACGCTCGTCTACAGGATACAGGTCATCTTACTCGGTGTCGTACAAGTCAGCATCAAACACCACGGAGCTGTTCCACAAAACTTGGAACGGCGCCGCACGACACCGACCCGTACGGGTTAGTCTGCGCTTATCCGCAGGGTATAAGCTATCCTCCCAAGGAGTTAACAACCATTAAAATACCATGTACGACTGACCACCCCTTCGCAAGTATAAAAGCCAACCCTTGACTAATGTAGAGGGGGAGTTCGCATATTCAATTCACTCTTATTCCACTTAACTCTAACTTAAGCTTTGGAAGGGTCAAGTCGGGAAATCCCCCTCCTGACCTTGACCTGAGTGCAAGGGCGGGCAACGAAGAAGCAAGCAATGAGACCCATAGCTTAACTAGACCCAATGCTCACTTCTGCCACCTGAGTCTCCATGTGGGCAACCTTGCACATCTAGGATCGGACCGAGCTGTGTTGACTTCTTAACCATGGAGTAATGGTTCACCAATATTTTGGTGCTAGAAGGAGAGCCCGATATCACCACAAAACAACCCTAGCAAACACCCTAACGAGAAGGTACCTGCCACTATCTCCACCTTCGACCTCGAAGAGCAGCTCCCCACTCTACCATATATGGATGGAAGCGCTTCAGCTTAGAATCCGGGGCACTATTGGCATTTGCTAAAAAAACCTGGGCTCTTACCTCCCGAGGTTGGCACGGGCCAGTTGGTTGTCTCCATCGAGGCATTCCTTAACCTCACCCACCAGGTGCAAGCATTAGTTGAGATGATGCAGACCATGTTGAATCTCGAATTTTGATGATAAAGTCAATTGTAAATTATTTGATCTAATCTATATATTAAGAAAAGTGTGTAGGATTAACTACGATAGCAGTAAGACATAAAGCAGGTGTTATACCGGAATCAAGATTGAGATCTCGTTGGGAGTTTGAGAGTTCGGCGGAAGTCTGGACGTTCGTCGGAAGTTTTGTCGGAACAACCGAGAAGTCTAGGAGCTTGCCAAAGAAGCTCATCGGAACTCACCAAAAAGATCATCGTAAAGTCTAGGAGCTTGCCATGAGTCCGTCGGAGCATTGTCGAGAGTTCGTCGGATGTTCGCCGGAAGCTCGCCGAAAGAGCAATTAACACACCAGAACAAGAAGTGCTATGATTATGTCTTAATTGTCATAGTTAGATCATAAATTAAGTTAGGATTGAGAGATAATCCCACTAACTTAATTAAGGGCCAACTAGACCCTTGACAGGGCTGAATTTGGTCGAATTAAGCAGCCATTCAGCCCCTAATTTCTTGGTCAGTGGTGGCACCGCTTGGAAAGCAGTGCCCCAGGTTATCTGGGCGATGGTACTGCCCAGATTGGGCGATGGTACCACTGGCAGTTAATGCTGCCAACGGTGGTACCACTCCTGTCAGGCGGTGGTACTACCAGAGCTCGATCTCCGAGCTCTATCAGGTGGTGGTACTGTCAGTACCCCGAAAATCTGGGATAAGATACTTTTTGGCTCCAATTTTGAAGTCATTGGGGCCTATAAAAACCTCACCTTTTTCTGCACGAAAGGGCATGAAAGAATTAGCATAATCTTGAATTCTTGAGTCTTAAAGTATTGTAAAAGTGAGAAGAGTTCTCCTCCTTCATCTTTTAGCCTTGTAACCATCCAAGAAAGAGGAGTGGACTTGTAAGGGTTATCTCCTAAACCCGGCAAAAGGAGAAAGAGCTGTAAAAGGTGGTTAGCCTTCGCCTATTGAAGGAAGGTCTTTAGTGGATGCCAGTGATCTCGTCGGAGGTAAAATCTAAAAGTGGATGTATATCACATTGACCGAACCATTCTAAATTCTGGTTTGCTTTTTCATTTGTGTAATTTACATTACTGCAAATCTCCTTAATCTTCTCTTGCACTTTTACGAAAGCTTTCAAGTTTAAATTCTCTCTGAAACGGATTGAATCGAAACCATTTTTGTCGGAATCAATTTTAATCGAAATAAAGACTTTTGAAATCGAAAAAGTTTTTTGCTGCACTAATTCACCCCCCCCCCCATCTTAGTGACACTCTTGATTCTAACAATTAGTATCAGAGCAAGGTTTACTCTCGTTTGGTTTAAAACCCAAGAGAGATGACATTTACTAGCAACCTAAAGGATCATTCAATTACACGTCCGCCCATGTTCAATGGGACGGATTACACATATTGGAAGACTAGAATAAGGATCTTCCTAATTTCAATGAATTTTAAATTATGAAATATTATAGAAAATGGGTTTCAAAAGTCTTCTATTCCAATGAACGATTAGAATGAGTTGGAGAAGAAGACTTTCACTTTAAATGTAAAGGCTATGAATGTCTTATTTTATACCTTAGATAAAAACGAGTTTAATCGTGTATCAATTTGTGAAACTGCTTTTGATATTTAGCATGCACTCGAAGTGACTCATGAAGGCACTAGTAGAGTGAAGGAGTCAAAAATTAATCTTTTAGTGCATGCTTATAAATTGTTTTGAATAAAACCGAGTGAGACCATTGGAAACATGTACACTTGATTTACGTATGTCGTCAATAGTCTAAAAGGACTTGGTAAAGGTTTCTTGGATTTTGAACTTGTTAACAAAATTTTAAGATCTCTTCCAAAGAGTTGTGACGCTAAAGTCACGGCCAGAGGCCAAAGATCTAAATAATTTTCCTCTTGAAGAACTAATTGGGTCACTAATGAAGAGCATGAGGACACCCTTCCAAAGAATATGAAGGATATGACACTAAAAACCCAAGAAGACCACTTGAAAGAAAACTAAAGTGATGAGGACCTTGATAAAGACTTGACACTCTTAACAAGGAAATTCAAAAAATTCATAAAAAAGAATAAATTTAAAAATAACACTAAAAATAAAATTGAAGCCAGGAAAGATTAAGTAATATGCTACGAATGTAAGAAGTCGAGACATTACAAGAGCGAATATCCCCTAGCCAAGAAGAGGCAACAACATAAGAAGGCTCTTAAAGCAATATGGGACGACTCAAGTGCATCCGAAGAAGAGGGGCCTACCATCACTGAGCAAGTTGCTCATTATGCACTAATGGCCATTGGAGATGAGGTGAGTAGTTCATTTGA